AAAACAGGAGACGGAAATGAGAATCCACAGTAAAGTGCTCAAGATGATCCTGGATCCCTCAGATGCAGCACCCCCAGCGCGTGCACCAGAACCTCCCCAGGTGCAGGAATCACAGCTCAGGACATTCAGCAATGCTACAGGCTGTGACGGGGCAGACAGGTCCCACAAGTGAGACCAGGGGATGAGACGGGGGCTGGAGGCAAGAGGAAAGTGCCCGCCCCTGGGGTTCTGCCGCAGGCCCCGCAGGCACACGGCTGAGGGCGCAGCTACAGCGCTGGGTCCAGCTCGAAGGCTGCTCTGAGTCAGCTTCTTCATGACCGGCTGTCACTCCCGATCAGAAATCACCTAAAGCTTGTCAGCTCCTTGAGCTTCACCTCTTGCCGTTCAAGTGACATAAAATCCCATTCTTTTTCGTGGAAATAACACAGCACAATTTGTTCCTTTTCCTTAAACGCGCTGGTCTGTGGATTCCACGGAAGTCCCCCACGGGTGTCTAAAACGGCGACGGCCGAGTGGCTCTGGAGGGGTAGTGAGCGGCTGGACCTGGGGATGCACTGTGCTTTCATCTCCATACAGTTCTATATTATTTGCTTTTAACCTTCCTTTTTCTGCATTTCTGATTTATAAGTTATTTTTATAGGTCAGAAAGGAGAGGAGAAAGAGCAGCAGTGGGTAAGAGGAGAACAAATGGAACCTTCAGAAGTCTAAATGCCGTCAGGAAATCAATGGAGTGAGATGATAACCTGAAGACACCCACCAGACTTAGCCACAAGGAGGTCACAGTGACAGGAAGCAGAAAAACATCTCTGAAGGGGGCCCTGAGCCCCCTGCGGAGGAGAGAGAGCTGTGACGGCGGGGGGCAGAGGCGGCCGTGCAGGGGTGCTGGGCTCTTCACACTGGATGTTACAACGCTAAATTATGTCCCAGGATTTTCTTTTTTATAACCAGAATTCTTTTCTTTATCTTATTTATTTTTATGTGGTGCAGAGGGTTGAACCCAGGGCCTTCCTTGCACATGCTAGGCAAGCGCTCTACCACTGAGCCACAACTCCAGCCCCTGTCACAGGATTTTAAAGAAACAAAGTATCCTAACCTTTTAATGATGCAGGTAAAAAAAAAAGTTAAATACTTTTGGACATTTGTTTTAATAGTATTAAATAGCACTTTAGCAACTCACACCTGGCCTTCAGTATGAGGCAGGACTGTGACCCTCAGGGGTCTGGAAGCCCCCAGGCATTACACTATATGCACCTGGGGTGACGGTGTCCCCTGTTTGGCGTTCTAGTCCCATCTCCACAGGCCATGGCTTTGCCCTCCTTTACAGTCCAGCTCTCCAGGAAAGGTTACTGTCCCTTTGTCATGGATGCTGTTAATGAACGTGTCCTACTAGGTAAAGCATCTTACTCGTCTGTCGCTAGGACCTTGACGCAGCTGGAATCTAACACGCCACACAGCCAGTCGAAGGGTCCACAGCCTCTCCCACTGTGCGCTTTCTGAAAGCTGGACGGACTCTGACACATGGACCTCCACGCATCCCAGACCCTTGGCCCAAGGACTGTGAGACTGCATCTGACAGAACCCTTGCCTGTCCGCGCCTTAGGTCTCAATGTTTAGAAAAGTTGCAAGTTACTTCCATGCAGTTGAGAGATCTGCATGAAAACTGGGAGGCATCGTATACACAGGAAGTCTTAAAAATACATTCTATTTCCTCTGGCTCTAATTCTCTTCCACTTTTTCTCCCTCTAAGACTTTGAATTTTTTAATTTTCTATAAAAGGTAAAAAAAAAAAACAACTAAACAAACAAACAAAAAAAAACAATGCTTCATTGAAGCAATAATCACTTTGCACCAAGCACTGGGAAAAGACTTTGTATTTCAAAGATGTATGGCCATAGGTTGAGTCCCTGTGTTATTAACAGACCCTGCAAATTAGACTTGGAGACCAAAAACCCGGATCACTGTTCTGCATTCAGTGTCACAAGACACATGGTGTTGAGCCACTACTAAACCCCGGTGGTGACAAAGTCACGACTCTCCTGGTCAGTACGTGGGTGCCGAGTACAGCAACTCTGACCCACTGCCCCAGGAACCTCGACAGGAGGCGCTCAGCTATGAGAACCAGGGGCCTACAAATCAGCAGAAGAGCAAGGTCGCTGTGACTCCCTAGGTCCAAGGATGACTCACTGCAGACCAGCACAGAATGGCCTGCGGGCGACCACCTCTTCCACAGGTGGACAGCTAAGAGGCTGTCAGGGAAAAGTCAAGCTGAAACTCTTCCCCACTCTGAGCCACTGATAAAGCAGAATCAGGAAGCTATCACCACTCAGAATCACCACTCCCCTGCCAGCGGGAAAGCCAGTGGAGGGCAGCAGGACGCGGCTTCCACCTCCCGTCCAGTCACCCCTGCTCCAGTCGCAATATCAAGTGACATCACAAACCCTGGCTTTAAAAGACCTGCCAAGTGTGTGAGACGGAGACCAGAACAGGGGGCAGATGGCAGTGACCTCTCAGGCCCTGATCTGCAGTCGTGGCTAAGTCTCCTCCTGCCCCTCTCCCGTGTGCAGGAAGCATCCTGCCCAGGCCATCCTAGCTCATCCCCTACCCCAGCTGGCCCAGAAATGATGTGGAGGACAGAGGAGCCCAAGTGGGGCCAGGAGGGCCATCGGCTAAACCCAGCTGGGTTCCCAGGCCACAAAAGTGGGGGTCGTGTATCCCTCAGTATCCGACTGACACAGTCTTCCCACCACCCCCGAAGCCCAGTAAAGAGAAAGTGTTCTGGGATCCAAAGCCCGGGTTGAGAGTCCTGGACCCCAGCAGACACGCCTTTCTATGTCTTTGGAGGTCGGCTTTCCTGCACCCTGACGGTTCCCTGTACACTCCAGAGGAGCCTGAGTGGACTTCTCCACTGACCACCCCACGTGTCCGCGCCAGGCCTCTCCCCTGTTCTGTAGCAGCTGGCCCTGACTCAGCAGCGTCTCCACACCTGCACCGGGAGGACAGCTCTGGAGCCCACACACACTGGCTGCGCAGCTTCACGGGGAGACCCTCCTTCGCCAGCCTCACGGTCCTGTTGTCATTTTGTAACTTAATTGCTGCAGTAACACACCGTGCATGGCAAAGAGGGCTCAAAATACTCATGTAACACTGAAGAATAATGACAACATGAACGCCCTGGGTCCTTTGCTACGTGAAGCCATAGGTTACTGCCACCTCGGAAGTTCCCTCCACGCCTCTTTATAGGGCACCCCATCACCCTGGAGGTTTGCGCTGGTGTGACTGCATCTTATTTCCTTGCTTTACTCAAGATCTTAATAACCGTCTGAGAACCTCTGGTGTGGACTGGCCAAGTAGGCAGCAGCAGCAGCCGGCCGGGGGGAACCCCAGGGGCCAGGAAAGTGCACACCTCTGGGCCAGAGCCAGAGCCTGGCTGCGCTGAGGGCCTACTGGTCCCCTCTGGGGAACCTGGTGACAACGCAGGACTGAGTCCTGGGGAGATGAGCGTCCAGTGCTCTGCTGATCCAGGGGTGGCACGTGGGGGGCCAGCAGCAATGTCACCAGCACTGGCCTGGACGTGCCTGGAACAGAAGAAAGCAGGGCCACGATCGTCTGTCCCCCAAGTTCTGCTGGAGAGATCACACAATGGCAGAGGGACTTTGTTGAGGGCCACAGCCGAGTCGGGATGACGCATAGCATTTTTGCCAGAAGTAGTGGTTGAGAGGTGACACCAGCGAGCCATCAAGATGATGACTTTTGAGTTCTCACGGAGTTCCCATTGAGTTCCAGTTGAGCTCTCGCGGGGATTCCTGAAGAGTTCGCTGTTGGTTGGTGAAGTTCCGGTGGAGGGAGTTCCGGTTGGTGTGGTGTGTTCCGGGAGGAGCCCGGTGGTTGGCGTTCGGGAGAGTTCCCCGGGGAGTGTGCTTGGAGTGCTGTGGGAGTTCAGAAATAAAGTTTGTTCCTCCTTGAGAGGCTCGTGATTTGTGCCCAGCCAGACAGCGGCAGGACTTGTTGACCACAGCCCTTGGCACACCCTTGGCACAGCCCTTGGCACACGGTCCTCTAGTCTGGACCTCGTCCGCAGACTACTGACTTGCTTACCGAGTCCATTTGTAATGGGTGCATGAGGCACAGACATCCCAGAGGACCCCGACCTCTCCCTCTCCCCACAGCCCTACTCCACGTTCGGGCTTCCCCATCGCAGTAGGTGGTAAAATAACCTCGTCCTTCCGGGCCATGCCAGCGAGCTGGACTCATGCCTGACCCTCTCTGCTCACGTGCCAGTCACCTCATTAGGAACCTCGAACCTCGTGCCATACAAACTGTCCTCAACAGGGTAGTGCTTACAAAATCTTAAGTCAGATCAAGTGACTCTTCAGCCCAGAAGCTTCCAGAAAGTCTTCCCATTTCCACAGCCACCTCTGTTGGCTTCTGTGACATTCTCAAAACAATGGCCGCGCACTTCAGGCTGGACCCGGCTGCTCCCAGCCCAGCATCTGAGGGCCGCATTCTCCCTCCCTGAAGCCATTGCTCCCTCCTTCTCCTGGAGAGTGCCCCCCCAGCGGCCTCACTTAATACCGCCAAGGGCCTGCTCCTCCCTCAAGGCCCATCCCCTTACCAGCCCTGCTCTTTTCCCCGTTTCAGAGCACACACCCTTCCTAAGGTGAGGACCGAGCTTGCTGATGGCCTGTTGTGGATCTCCACCTCCTCACCACACAGCGTGAGCCTCTGGGGCACACGGCTGTGTTCCCTGCTCACTGATGACACTCACGACCAGGGGGACTCTTGATCCACTGAAACACAAGTGACACGTAAAGCGGCAGGATGGACAAGACCCTCCTAGGACAGTGTCGCTGGCCAAGACTGGAGTGAGAGCTGGGCCCTGGACTGAGCCTCGGGGAGGCTGGTCAGAGAGGAAGAGCCCACAGAAGAGCAGAGAGAGGGCTTTCTAGCCAGCAGGAGGAAATCTGGAGCGCATGTGGCTCCGTGGGAGTCACAGAGGGACAAAATGGGCCTGGGCACAGCTGGCTTTCCCTCGGGTGGAGAAGGTGGTGAGGAGCTGGGAACCCTGAGCAGCAATGAGAATTCGCTTCCACTTTCCTGCAACCTCCTGTCCGCAGGGCGAGACAAGCACAGCCACTCTGACGAGGGATGGGCTCCTCGCTGGACAGCCGTGTGGACCGCCCACTTCACCACTGCCTTGGTGACACTGAGCTGCGTTCACTGTGGGACTCTATTGCCTGAGGGTCCATGTAGTGGGGAAGCACCCCATCCTGGTGGGTTTCAGGAGAAGGCTCCACTGTCCAGACGCCTGTGGAGCTCCATGCTGGGGGGTTCTCCACACCCAGGGCCCTGCGCTCCCGTCACACCCGCCAGCAGGGTTAGACAGAGCCGCTGACCCGGGTGGTCAGGCACGTCCTCATGAAGAGCAAGCCGGGCAGGATTCACCTGCATCTTCTGTTGTGAGCCAAGCATGTGTCCACACAAAAGCCCCAGGCTGGAGCCCAAATCACCCTTGTGGGTGCAGTGAGTGAGTAGGTTACCAAGGTCAGAGGGTGCCACCCCATCCAGAGCGTCGTGTCTCTATGAGATGCCAGCCTGCCTGCCCACGTTTGCTGGCACCAGGTGGGCCCTCAGCAGGAGGCAGCCATGGGGGACCCAGAACTGCCCACCCGAAACCAGACAGGCACACCCCTGGAGTTTGGATCTCCTGTCTTCCAGAACTGGAAAATCAAGTTCTGTCATTCAAGCCACCGAGAGACGGGCATGCTGTAGGGCTGTGAGAGACAAGCCATCTTCCACGGAGCGTGGGCACAAGTCTCCAAAAAGGAGCCATCGCGAGGCGTGCCTCCGCTTCCTCCTTCAGTAAGCGCCCACTGAAACCCACTGCAGGACAGACGCTGAGGGTTACAGCTGTTCGTCACTCAAGCAGGAAGCCACCGGAAGCTCTCCAGTCCATGGGGTCTGCCTCCCCTCTCCCACAGGTGAGATCCTTCCTTCTCACCTGCTCCTGACCAGGGCGTCTACAGACTGCACACACCTGTCCTTGGTCACCCTCTCACAGAACACCACCTTTAAATACACTTCTATCTTAGATACGCTACCTTTTCCATTTTATTCCATATCATCTACCATGGAGCAAAGAAAATCTTACTTATTTAAAAGATGGATTATTTTTCAGACGTAAACATGGTGTGGAAAGACCTCAGTGTGGATTTGGGGGATGAATAAACTGAAAAGTGTGAGGCTCACTCTTTCCAACTCTCCTGTGGCAAGTAATTCAACTTCCCCGAGCCACAATGTCCTCTTCTGATTCAGAGAGTAATGACATCCATCCTGTGGGATTTTATGTGGTTAAAGTAAATCACCTCTGTAAGGACTACTGGGCACAGTGGTTTTCAGTAAGTGCTAGTTTCATTCCGATCTCTGAGGATTTCGATGGGGCGTTCTCACAGGTCTGTCGGGGAAACACCGACTACAGTAATGTTCTATAGCACAAAACAGTCCTTCCTCTCTAAATGACTTCCGAGGCTCGGTGCAGCTCAGTGGTAGAGCCCTTGCATAGCGTGCAGGAGACCCTGGGATCCAGCCTAAGAAAGAAAGACAGAAAGAAGGAAGGAAGGCAGGCAAAGTGAATTACTTCCAGTGCTTCCTTTGTACACTGAGCGAGTTTCCGGTTTTCAGACATTGCTGAGGGTCTCTGTGGCCTGGAGAGCGCCCCAGCCTGTTGTGTGGGCTCTGTGCCCTGCTTTTCTAGAGAAACCCAGGAAAAGATAGAGGTAGTGTGGGATGACACAGTTACTTCTGGATGTTAGCAATAAGTATACTTAGTTGTTAAATAAAAAGTCAAAAGTACAACGAATTCAGCTGCATATCTAAGTGGCTTTCATTGGCAAGTCTTGACAGAGGCAGCACGGAACCAGGGGCTTTCGTGGTGGGAAGAAAGAAACAAGAGGTCACCAGCAAGGCTGAGTGGCTGACATCCGTCACTCCGGGGTCAAGCAGAGGGGACCTCCTCATGGTGCACACCCAGGTCAGGACTAAGTGCTCCTTACAGTTTCAGTCTGGTCACAGCAGAACCCTCCCTTCTCCCTGTGAGTGACTCTGTCGTGGTTGGGTTGTTCTGGCCGGGGGAGCCGGGGGCAGGAACTCAGGCCAACCCTGTCACCCCCAACCTGCCTAACGGTCGGTCGTGGTCGGAGGTATCTGACCATCTTGGAACAGTGGTCCACCTCGTTCTTGGAATACAGCCTGGCTGCTGGGCCCCTGTAACTCATCTCTTCTTCTCCCCCTGGCCCTCCCTAATCATCTGGGAGGACACTGGATCTCCTTCTTCCCCATCTAGGCTGAGCCCTCTGTCCTTGAACACTCACCCAGCACAGGAAAGAAGAGATTCAGACTTGGGGATGGCCCCAGGAGAGCGCAGGAATGACCACCTCCTGAATTAGCAAGAAGAGGATGCTGGGCCGCAGCCTTGGAGTCCACTCTTTAAAACCCCCTGTCCCCCCATGGGCAGAACCACAGCCTCAGGGACAGAGTCCCCTGCCTTTCTCCTTTGCTACCAAAGTAAGGAAACTTCTTTTTTTCTTTTTCGTCTTTTTTCTTTTCCTTGTTATTGAGTTGGCAGGGGACGAGGACCAAGCTTTCCATATCAACCTCATGAGCCTGCAATTAAAGTGGAGTTTGGAGATGGGCCTGGATCCCCCGCTTCACAATTTCCTTCTAGGTTCCTGTCTCACAAATTTGAAGAATAAGATCCAGAGACAGTGATGGAAGTAAAGGGAGTGGGGTTTAAGTGAGGAGAGATCAACCTCACTGATGAGGGAGGGGCCCGAGAGCAGGAAATCCATTTTGGTGGGCTCAGGGGTGCGGGTAGTCTGGGGTACAAGCACTGATCAGAATCTCCACTAAGCAGACATTGAAGGGCGTCAAGGCCCGTGGCTGTGTCCTGTAGTGTGAACCCCCCCACCCCCCGGATCTCCCATGGGCTCCATCTTGCCACCTCTCTGGGATCAAGGTGTTGGCTGCAGTGTCCCTCCAGGTCTCTTTTTTAAATTTGAAAAAGGCCCTGATGGTGCCCCTGGGCACTGTACCAGTTAGCCGCCCCGCATTCTCTACCTTGAATAAGACCAGGAGGCCTTCTGCCCCCTCAGCCGTGCTCCCTCACCACCACTCCTGTGTGTGACCCATGTGCAGCCCCTGAGCCGGCCCAGGTGGAGAGGCCGAGGGCTGGGAACATGGGTGAGAGTCCTGAGCCCCGGGTTAAAGCTCCTGATTCCATGGAAAGCCCCGAACAGAGAAGTGGCCAGTTGTGGAGGCAGTGAGGACATCACTCTAGGGAGGAGCAGGGCTGCAGTGAGCGGGGTCAGGACGGCCAGGGCTCAGGGGTCATCACAGCTGGGTGGCAGGATGGACGCTGGGGCCCGGGAGCCGGGACCTTTCTTACCCAGAGAGTCATGTGGTGCCCGCCTTCCTTCAGCGGGTGGAGCTGGGCAAGAAGGACGGCAGTGCACCTCCTCCAGCCCTCTGACTCCAAGGATGATGCGTGTCCAGAGCGAGGGTTAGGAGACATGCTGTGGACAGGCGAGGAAGCTCAGGAGCAGCGGAGGCTCCTGCCTCCTCCTGGTGGAAGGCACTGCAGTCACCCAGCACTGCCGTAGGCCTTCTTGAAGGAGGACCTGGAACCACAAAGAGCAGGGTAACAGGGCCTCTTCTCTTCCCCACCTCCCGACAACCTGCATTTGTGCACCTGCTGGTGTGGACACCAGGGCTGCCCTGGCCAGCAGCCAGGAACAGCAGTTCCCAGGGTCTCTGCCAAGTCTACCTGGGTCCCTGGGTTTGGCTCCCTGAACCTCACTGTTTCTGTGGGGCAGAGAAGCAGGTGAGCTGCGTCCCAGGACTGACCAAATGGACTACGTTAATTTCTCCTTTTCATTTTATTTCTTCCTATTCGGATGCAAGCAGATGACCTGATCTCATCTGTGGGGACCCCAGGAGAATTTAGGCCTTTGGAGGCCGTTTCTCAGTTTTTCTTCTCACATTGAAGGAGCTGGGACGGGAGGATACAGGTCATCAGGAACTGGACACGTTGATTCCAAAGGGGCCCTGTGGGGCAGGAGAACCTGTGGGGCAGGAGACACTGTGGACAGGAGAACCTGTGGGTAGGAGAACTTGTGGGCAGGAGAACCTGTGGGGCAGGACAACCTGTGGGTAGGAGAAACTGTGGACAGGAGAACCTGTGGACAGGAGAACCTGTGGGCAAGAGAACCTGTAGGCAGGAGAACCTGTGGGCAGGAGACTCTGTGGACAGGAGAACCTGTGGGCAGGAGACACTGTGTACAGCAGAACATGTGGACAGGAGAACTTGTGGGGCAGGAGAACCTCTGGGGCAGGAGAACCTGTGGGCAGGAGACTCTGTGGACAGGAGAACCTGTGGGCAGGAGACACTGTGTGCAGCAGAACATGTGGACAGGAAACTTGTGGGGCAGGAGAACCTGTGGGGCAGGAGAACTTGTGAGAATGAGAACCTGCGGGCAGGAGAACCTGTGGGTAGGAGAACATGTGGGTAGGAGAACCTGTGGGTAGGAGAACCTGTGGACAGGAGAACCTGTGGGTAGGAGACCCTGTGGGCAGGAGAACCTGTGGACAGGAGACCCTGTGGACAGGAGACACTGTGGGCAGGAGAACCTGTGGGTACGAGAACCTGTGGGTAGGAGAACATGTTGACAGGAGACCCTGTGCACAGGAGAACCTGTGGGGCAGGAGAACGTGTGGGCAGGAGAACCTGTGGGTAGGAAAACATTTGGGACAGGAGAACCTGTGGGCAGGAGAACCTGTGGGCAGGAGAACCTGTTGGCAGGAGAACCTGTGGGCAGGAGAACCTGTGGACAGGAGAACCTGTGGGCAGGAGACCCTGTGGGCAGGAGAACCTGTGGGCAGGAGAACCTGTGGGTAGTAGAACCTGTGGGTAGGAGAACCTGCGGACAGGAGAACCTGCAGACAGGAGAACCTGTGGGGAGGAGAACCTGCGGGCAGCAGAAACTTTGGGCAGGAGAAACTGTGGACAGGAGAACCCTTGGACAGGAGAACCTGTGGGCAGGAGAACCTGTGGACAGGAGAACCTGTGGGGAAGGAGAACCTGTGGGCAGGAGAAACTGTGGGAAGGAGAACCTGTGGACAGGAGAACCTGTGGGTAGGAGAACCTGTGGGCAGGAGAACCTATGGGTAGGAGAACGTGTGGAGAGGAGACCCTGTGGACAGGAGAACCTGTGGGGCAGGAGAACATGTGGGTAGGAGAACATGTGGGTAGGAGAACCTGTGGACAGGAGAACCTGTGGGAAGGAGAACCTGTGGACAGGAGAACCTGTGGGAAGGAGAACCTGTGGACAGGAGAACCTGTGGGCAGGAGAACGTGTGGGACAGGAGAACCTGTGGACAGGAGACCCTGTGGACAGGAGACACTGTGGGCAGGAGAACTTCTGGGTAGGAGAACCTGTGGGTAGGAGAACCTGTGGACAGGAGACCCTGTGGACAGGAGAACCTGTGGGGCAGGAGAACCTGTGGGCAGGAGAACCTGTGGACAGGAAAAGCTTTGCGACAGGAGAACCTGTGGGCAGGAGAACCTGTGAGCAGGAGAACCTGTGGGCAGGAGAACCTGTGGGCAGGAGAAACTGTGGGCAGGAGAACCTGTGGGCAGGAGAACCTGTGGGCAGGAGAAACTGTGGGCAGGAGACACTGTGGACAGGAGAAACTGTGGGCAGGAGAACCTGTGGGCAGGAGACTCTGTGGGCAGGAGAACCTGTGGGCAGGAGAACCTGTGGACAGGAGAACCTGTGGGCAGGAGAACTTGTGGGTCAGGAGAACCTGTGGGGCAAGAGAAACTGTTGGCAGGAGAACCTGTGGGTAGGAGAACCTGTGGGTAAGAGAACCTGTGGACAGGAGACCCTGTGGACAGGAGAACCTGTGGGGCAGGAGAACCTGTGGGCAGGAGAAACTGTTCGCAGGAGAATCTGTGGGCAGGAGAACCTGTGGGCAGGAGAACCTGTGGGCAGGAGAACCTGTGGGCAGGAGAAACTGTGGGCAGGAGAACCTGTGGGCAGGAGAACCTGTGGACAGGAGAACTTGTGGGCATGAGACACTGTGGACAGGAGAACCTGTGGGCAGGAGAACCTGTGGGCAGGAGAACCTGTGGGCAGGAGACTCTGTGGGCAGGAGAACCTGTGGGGCAGGAGAACCTGTGGGTAGGAGAACCTGTGGGTAGGAGAACCTGTGGACAGGAGAACCTGTGGGCAGGAGAACGTGTGGGACAGGAGAACCTTTGGACAGGAGACCCTGTGGACAGGAGACACTTTGGGCAGGAGAACCTCTGCGTAGGAGAACCTCTGGGTAGGAGAACCTGTGGACAGGAGACCCTGTGGACAGGAGAACCTGTGGGGCAGGAGAATCTGTGGGCAGGAGAACCTGTGGGCAGGAAAAGCTTTGGGACAGGAGAACCTGTGGGGCAGGAGAACCTGTGGGCAGGAGAACCTGTGGGCAGGAGAACCTGTGGACAGGAGAACCTGTGGGCAGGAGACACTGTGGACAGGAGAACCTGTGGGCAGGAGAAACTGTGGGCAGGAGAACCTGTGGGCAGGAGACTCTGTGGGCAGGAGAACCTGTGGGCAGGAGAACGTGTGGGACAGGAGAACCTGTGGAGAGGAGACCGTGTGGACAGGAGACACTGTGGGCAGGAGAACCTGTGGGCAGGAGAAACTCTGGGTAGGAGAACCTGTGGACAGGAGACCCTGTGGACAGGAGAACCTGTGGGGCAGGAGAACCTGTGGGCAGGAGAACCTGTGGGCAGGAGACTCTGTGGGCAGGAGAACCTGTGGGTAGGAGAACCTGTGGGTAGGAGAACCTGTGGACAGGAGAACCTGTGGGGCAGAAGACCCTGTGGGCAGGAGAACCTGTGGGCCTGAGAACCTGTGGGGAGGAGAACCTGTGGACAGGAGAACCTGTGGGGCAGGACAACTTGTGGGTAGGAGAACCTGTGGGTAGGAGAACCTGTGGGCAGGAGACCCTGTGGGCAGGAGAACCTGTGGACCGGAGAACCTGTGGGGCAGGAGAACCTGTGGGCAGGAAAACCTGTGGACAGGAGAACCTGTGGGCAGGAGAACTTGTGGGGCAGGAGAACCTGTGGGGCAGGAGAAACTGTTGGCAGGAGAACCTGTGGGCAGGAGAACCTGTGGGCAGGAGAACCTGTGGGTAGTAGAACCTGTGGGTAGGAGAACCTGCGGACAGGAGAACCTGCAGACAGGAGAATCTGTGGGGTGGAGAACCTGCGGGCAGGAGAACCTGTGGGCAGGAGAACCTGTGGACAGGAGAACCCTTGGACAGGAGAACCTGTGGGCAGGAGAACCTGTGGGCAGGAGAACCTGTGGGCAGGAGAAGCTGTGGACAGGAGAACCTGTGGGTAGGAGAACCTGTGGGTAGGAGAACCTGCGGACAGGAGACCCTGTGGACAGGAGAACCTGTGGGTAGGAGAACCTGTGGGTAGGAGAACCTGTGGAAAGGAGAACCTGTGGGGCAGGAGAACCTGTGGACAGGAGAACCTGTGGGAAAGAGAACCTGTGGACAGGAGAACCTGTGGGCAGGAGAACGTGTGGGACAGGAGAACCTTTGGACAGGAGACCCTGTGGACAGGAGACACTTTGGGCAGGAGAACCTCTGGGTAGGAGAACCTGTGGGTAGGAGAACCTGTGGACAGGAGACCCTGTTGACAGGAGAACCTGTGGGGCAGGAGAACCTGTGGGCAGGAGAACCTTTGGGCAGGAGAACCTGTGGGCAGGAAAAACTGTGGGCAGGAGAACCTGTGGACAGGAGAACCTGTGGACAGGAGAACCTGTGGGCAGGAGACACTGTGGACAGGGGAACCTGTGGGCAGGAGAACCTGTGGGCAGGAGACTCTGTGGGCAGGAGAACCTGTGGACAAGAGAACTTGTGGGGCAGGAGAACCTGTGGACAGGAGAACTTGTGGGTAGGAGAACCTGTGGACAGTAGAACCTTTGGGCAGGAGAACCTGTGGACAGGAGAAACTATGGGCAGGAGAACCTGTGGACAGGAGAACCTGTAGGTAGGAGAACCTGTGGGCAGGAGACCCTGTGGGCAGGAGAACCTGTGGACAGGAGAACCTGTGGGGCAGGAGAACCTGTTGGGCAGGAGAACCTGTGTGCAGGAGAACCTGTGGACAGGAGAACCTGTGGGCAGGAGAACTTGTGGGTCAGGAGAACCTGTGGGGCAGGAGAAACTCTTGGCAGGAGAACCTGTGGACAGGAGAACCTGTGGGCAGGAGAACCTGTGGGTAGTAGAACCTTTGGTTAGGAGAACCTTCGGACAGGATAACCTGCCGACAGGAAAACCTTTGGGGAGGAGGATCTGTGGGCAGGAGAACCTCTGGGCAGGAGAACCTGTGCGCAGGAGAAACTGTGGGCAGGAGAACCTGTGGACAGGAGAACCTGTGGACAGGAGAACCTGTGGACAGGAGAACCTGTGGATAGGAGAACCTGTGGGTAGGAGAACATGTGGACAGGAGACCCTGTGGACAGGAGAACCTGTGGGGCAGGAGAACCTGTGGGCAGGAGAACCTGTGGGTAGGAGAACCTGTGGACAGGAGAACCTGTGGGGCAGGAGAACCTGTGGA